ACGGCGGACCTTGCGGGATTTGGTTGGTGGTTGTCTATGGTGGATCTGCGCGGATCCGTTCTTTCACTGGTGGAAAAAGGGCCTTTGGTCGCGGTTCGCAACTGCCATTAGTCGCGGTTGCGCAACCGCGACCAGACGGGCGCGACTAAAGGCCCCCCCCCCTTTAGTCGCGGTTGCTTAAGAACCGCGACTAAAGGCCCGTCCACGTGGGCGGAGGACCTTTAGTCGCGGTTCTTGTGGCTAACCGCGACTAAAGGCCGCCACAGGTTTTTGAAAAAAAAATTGAATTTTTTTTTTCAAATTTCTGAATTATTTTAACCTCTAGTCTCTAATCACCACCCCTCATCACTTCTCAATTTATTCTTTTATCACCCCTCATCATTCCAAATCATCTAACTTCCCAACCGGTCACCCATCCCTCTCACTACTCCAGCCCAAGCACGCTTAACTTCCGGGTTCTATTCTCCCACGCTCCAAGTCCGCACTTGTTGTTTTCCTGACAATAATAAGATGTCAATCCTATTAACCTTCAGGAATTTTGCTTGAGCATGAAGTGACACATTTCACTGTTTGAGTTTGAAACTATTGTTTTAAAAAACAATAATTATTTAGTAACACTAATATTTCTTGAATAATTAGTTTGACCATTGTTTGACCACAGTTTGACCACAGTTGACCACAGTTTGACCAGATTTGACCAAAATTGAAATAATTAAAATAATTATTTAGTAACACTAATATTCTAGAATAATTAGTTTGACCATTGTTTGACCATAGTTTGCCCACTGTTTGAATATTTTTCAATTTTTTCCACTCTAGATCTTACAAGCCCCGTAACTTTTTTTCTATTAGGTTTTTGAGGATTTTGAAAATGTTTAACGGGGCTCCCCCTGTTAAATTTGGATGTAACTTTTCGAGTAGATGATTTTTCATATAAAAAACTTTTTCATCCGAGTTAGTATGCAAAAGTTATGCCCATTTTTACAAATTTCAGAGAGATTTTGCAAATAAAGTCAAAATTCACATTTGCAAATTTTCCCAACAACTAGACCACATATCACATGAGAAACTTATTTTCTTTTATTTTTTTGACATTTCCATTATTTTCTTTTATTTTTTTTAAAACTGAAAAGGCGATCCCGGGGGGGGTAGAGTTTGAAAATGGGACCTTTAGTACCGGTTCGTGGCACGAACCGGGACTAAAGGTCTCAACCCCATTAGTTCCGGTTCGTGCCACAAACCGCGACTAAAAGGGAGGAGCTTTAGTCGCGGTTGGCCTGGCCAACCGCGACTAAAGGCCTTTGGGCACCTTTAGTCGCGGTTGGATTATTCTAGAATATTAGTGTTACTAAATTTTTAACGGGGTTCCCCCTGTTAAATTTGGATGTAACTTTTCGAGTAGATGATTTTTCATATAAAAAACTTTTTCATCCGAGTTAGTATGCAAAAGTTATGCCCATTTTTACAAATTTCAGAGAGATTTTGCAAATAAAGTCAAAATTCACATTTGCAAATTTTCCCAACAACTAGACCACATATCACATGAGAAACTTATTTTCTTTTATTTTTTTGACATTTCCATTATTTTCTTTTATTTTTTTTAAAACTGAAAAGGCGATCCCGGGGGGGGGTAGAGTTTGAAAATGGGACCTTTAGTACCGGTTCGTGGCACGAACCGGGACTAAAGGTCTCAACCCCATTAGTTCCGGTTCGTGCCACAAACCGCGACTAAAAGGGAGGAGCTTTAGTCGCGGTTGGCCTGGCCAACCGCGACTAAAGGCCTTTGGGCACCTTTAGTCGCGGTTGGCCTGGCCAACCGCGACTAAAGCCCGCGAGCGCCCTGGGCCCAGGCATTTGGTCGCGGTTCATCTGCCGAACCGCGACTAAAGACTTCATTAGTCGCGGTTCCTACAGTTTCGCGACTAATGGGGCTGGACGGAAGCCTCTTTTTCTACTAGTGTTTGTTCGTCTTTGTTCTAGTGTCCTTAGGTTGGATCCTTCCGATTTAAGCTTCTTTTCATCAGCGGCGGTGGTTATTCTGACGGTCCTATGGGCCTTAACGCGACTACTTCCCGACTGTCTACTACAACAAGTTGTGTCCGGCTTTGACAAGGGAGGAGTGATGAAGGTGGTGCGCCTTCAGCTCGCTTCAGTGCTTGTAGTCGTCGCTAGGTGGTCTATAAATCTGAATGTTTTATTATTTTTAATGTTCGTTGTACTCACATGGTTGAAAATGAATAGATTGGAAGGTTCTCGAAAAAAAATAATGGGACGGCTATATTACAGTCTAAATTAGTGGGATGATCTTAATTTATTTATATCCGATAATATAGTGAAAAATAAAATCTCTTCACGATATATAAGATATTTTCTTAACACCGGTGGTTCTGGATCCAGCGTACAAGCCATCGAAAGAGACGGCGGCAATAGTGCGACGAGGACAACTCGTTCATTATGCCACCAGCCCAACACAGAGCTTGATTAGCTATCAACACCACCACGCTTAGCCATCACAGCGGGACTCCATTCTCAGCGTGAGTCCGTGACACCGTCGCACGCACACAACAAGGTCAGCCATGGACAAGAAGAGGGTGGCCATCGTCCGCGCCGGCCTGAGTGGCCTGGCGGCGTGCAAGCACCTGCTGGAGCGCGGCTGCCGGCCGACCGTCTTCGAGGCGGACACCGTCCTCGGCCGCGTGTGGGCGCACGCACCAGAGTGCACCAGGCTCCAGACGCCACGGCCCATGTTCCAGTACTCCGACTTCCCGTGGCCGGAGTCTGTCACGGAGGTGTTCCCGGACCACCGCCAGGTCGCCGACTACCTCGACGCCTACGCAGGCCACTTCGGCGTGCTCGACTGCATCAGGTTCGGCCGCAGGGTGGTCGGGATGGAGTATGTGGGCGTCGGCGAGGAGGAGGTGGCGGCGTGGGAGGACTGGGCTGGGTGCGGCGAGGCGTTTGGTTCCGGCGACGGCGAGTGGCAGCTCACGGTGGCCGACGTCGACGGTCTCATGGAGGTAAGGGCCCAACCAGTTTGCACATACTTCCAAGGTACGTATATACTGTGTGTGCCCCTGCTTACACGGCACCATTGGTGCGCTCAGAACAGCACACTGCACTGTCGGATGTCGGTGATATTGATCCGTTTGCCTTTATTTGATGATGATAATATGCTGCACCTACTAATTTGATTTCTCGGCACATGAACGTCACACTCACACATGGAGGTGCCACCTACTCCCCAAAAAATGGCATGTGACCACTGGATGTGAATAAATCAACATCTACTTTTCTGATCTTCTGACTTCAAGTGATACTCCATGTACTCCCTCCGTCCGGAAATACTTGTCATCAAAATGGATTAAAATGGATGTATCTATAACTAAAATACATCTAGATAATCCATTTCAATGACAAGTATTTCCGGACGGAGGGAGTACTAGTAACCTCTCATCTTTGAAGTTCTAGATTGAAGCTTGGATGGCCACTAGCCTTCAGAATCTCAGGGAAAAAACTAGGAGCAGGAATCAAAGATTTTTGTTTACTAGTTACTATAGGGCAACAGCCCTACAGTCCTGTATTCTAGATTTTTTTTCCAGGCTTGTTTAAATCCGCTCCCACCGGTAGTCGAACCCAGGATTTGGGGTGCTACTGAGGTCACTGCAACCACGAATTCCTAGCTAGTAAGGGAATAATAGCAAAGTACGGTTCCATGAATTATTACTGTACCAACACTCCTCTACCATCAACACATAACCGGCATCTCAAAAAAAATCACCCGGCACCGATCATATGCATGCTTGCACGTTGAGAGAAATGAGTTAGCGAGGACCACCTATTTAGTTATGTAGGATGTCCAGCTTTTACAATCGAAGAACACGACAAACACCCAGATACAATCGATGGTAATCCTACGATCAGACTATACCCTGGAAGCGAAGAAGGAGTCAACTAAACTATCAGACCATGTTTTTATTGTACACATGCAACATAACTTTAGAAGTGCGAAAATTTTACTCTCCAAGATGTTTCTACATAGGTACCATAACATCAGTATTTCTATGAAAGCACACTACACCAACAAAATTAAAATCAGGGAATATATGTGCACCATTTTCCAAATGTAATGCGTATAGATTGGCTAAGGGACAAGCAATTTTAATACTCCCTTCGATCCTTGTTACTTGTCGCTCAAAGGGATGTATCTAGCAGTATTTTAGTGCTAGATACATCCATTTGAGAGACAAGTAATATGGATTTGAGAGAGTAGTATTTTGTTAACTCGGAGTATATTTTTCTAGACTTAACCTTCCAGGTAAATGAAACAATGTTCATAAATCAAATTGTCTGTGCAATTCTATTTGCCTTCTTTTCAGGTACACAAGGCAGACTTTGTGATCCTTTGTATTGGGAGGTTCAGTGGTGTGCCCAACATACCTACATTTCCAGTTGGCAAAGGCCCAGAAGTGTTTGACGGGAAAGTGATCCACTCCATGGAGTACTCGAAAATGGGAGGCAAAAATGCTAGAGATATGATCAAGGACAAGCATGTGACTGTTATTGGCTACCTGAGATCAGCAGTAGACATTGCAAATGAGTGTGCCAACGTCAATGGTATGTAGACGATGCCACTTTCTTACAATATGATTATCTCCTTTCCTCTTGCATGAAGGTTGATATATCAAACTTAATTAGTGTTAAACCTAAGTGTTACAATATGTAGACGATTTCTCCTTTATTAAATGTGTCATTGTCTACCTTGGTTATAAAGTCTTGGGTTACATAGTTGCCTCAATAAAACAAAAATACAAATGCTATGATTTTATTACTAATTGTTTATTTATTTTTTAGGTACCGAAAAACCATGCACGATGGTAGTATGAACAAAGAGTTGGAATATACCAGACTACTATGCTTGGGGCGTCCACATTTCAAATTTCTATCTCACCCGTTTCACCGAACTACTTATTCACAAGCCTGGTGAAGGCTTTCTCAACAACATGTTGGCTACTGTCTTGACTCCACTGGTAGGGCTACATGTTATAATTTTTGTATTAAATTCTAATTGAACTTGTTTAAATGGTTTTGTTTTAGATTAAACCGATACATGCATGTGTTTTCCTTGTTTGTGTTGAGTAGAGGTTGATTTTTTCGAAGTTTGTTGAGAGCTACTACTCAATTGCAATGAGGAAGCATGACATGGTGCCTGACCATAGCTTTTTTGAGGGATTAGTGGCATGTGTAGCTGCCATTGCACCAAAGGATCATTACAAGAATCTGGAGGAAGGTAGCATCGTTCTTAAGAAGTCAAAAACATTCAGCTTTTGTGAAGAAGGTGTGCATTTTGAAGGTGAATGTACTCCAGTAAAGAGTGACATTGTTATCTTCGGAACCGGATTCAACGGTGATCAAAAGATCAAGGACATGTTCACATCAGAATACTTTCGGAGCATAGTCGTTGGCTCAACATCAACGACCGTGCCACTTTATAGGTAATCGCCTCGCTATATATGCACAATATTTATGTAGTTTGAACGTCTTGATTTTGAAGAGTACACTAATCCCTTATTTTAGGGAGTGCATCCATCCAAAGATTCCACAGCTCGCGGTCATCGGCTATTCCGAGAGCTTGACAAATATCTATACAACAGAGCTTATGTCCAAGTGGATATCACATTTTATGGATGGTGGTTTCAGATTGCCAGGTGTCAGAGAAATGCAGAGGGATGTCCTTGAATGGGAGAAGTTCATGAAGCGCTACTCTCGAGACTATTTCCGTAGGTCATGTGTTGGAATTGTTCATATATGGTACAATGATCAACTATGCCAGGACATGGGATGCAACCCAAGAAGGAAGAAGGGTTTTTTCTCTGAATTATTTGAGCCTTATGGTCCTTGTGATTATGTTAATCTTCACCCCAAGTAATAGTAGATCACATGTTTGCACACAATAAGTTTTCTACCAGATCCCTCATGTACACACATGTATAAGTTGTCTACCAGATCCCTCGTTGTTTATCTACTTGCATGGTTACTTGTTATAATATTGTATGGTATTGTGCCAGGACATGTTCCTAGACATTAATTGTAGTCGGGTTGGTGGTTTGTTTGGTCCACTAATCTAGTGTAGTAATATCCAATGTGAAGGAAGAAATGAAACCATAGGCACAATTATACCATATAGTCATGCCTCTTAGAAATCCCTTATTGAAAGTATACTATATATGTAGAATTATATATAATGTTAGCTTATATTTTCTATTACTAATCCCTAGCTAATTGCACGTACGTATCTACGAAACAGTAATAACAATACATATGTAAGATTTGAGTGACTGGAAATTTACTCACCTCAAAAAGATACAAAAGTATATAAACAAAGACTATGTCATCGTTTGAAATAGTGTTAGTCTCTTTATCCTTTGGTGGGATATATACTTACATTATTTTTTAGCAAAGACCACACACAACAATTCAAACTTGACTAGTGAAATAGAATAACAAAATTGTGATAGACTATAACCTCATGACATATTGCCTTATATATCCCAAATTTCACTAAGATGGTCAAATGTGGGGCCTCCATACACATCCATCGTGGGTACCATCCGGTCGCGAATGAAGTCCAGCCGCACATAGAGGAAAGCCCACACTACCCTCCTGACACTGCCCAAGACTGTCGGACCAAGCCTAGCAGGCACCATCGCTGACGGAAGAGCGCCGCCAAAACCACGCCACCACCTCCACCGGCCAGGCCCACTATGGCAGAGGCGGCCACCCGCAGCCCGCGCCGCCTGGAGAGAACCCGTCGCCACCACCTCGGGTGTGGAAAAACACTGCACTGCATGTCACATCACCACCGCACCTACACGCCAATGATGTCTACTATGCAATTTTATTCTTGTAGACACATGTTGGACCTCCAAGCATAGAGTTTTGTAGGACAGTAGCAATTTTCCCTCAAGTGGATGACCTAAGGTTTATCAATCCATAGGAGGTGTAGGATGAAGATGGTCTCTCTCAAACAACCCTGCAACCAAATAATAAAAAGTCTCTTGTGTCCCCAACACACTAAATACAATGGGAAATTGTATAGGTGCACTAGTTTGGCGAAGAGATGGTGATACGAGTGTAATATTGATAGTAGATATTGATTTTTGTAGTGCGAACAATAAAAAACAGCAAGGTAGCAAGTAACAAAAGTGAGCACAAACGGTATTGCAATGATGGAAAACAAGGCCTAGGGTCCGTACTTTCGCTAGTGCAATCTCTCAATAGTGCTAATATAATTGGTTCACATAACCACCCCTCTAAGTGCACTGAAGAATCACTCCAAAGTTCCTATCTAGTGGAGAACATAAGAAAAAATTGTTGATGGGGTACGAAACCACCTCAAAACTATTCTTTCCGTTCGATCTATTCAAGAGTTCGTACTAAAATAACACAAAGCTATTTTTTTCATTTCGATCTATCCCAGAGTTCGTACTAGAATAACACAACTAGAAAAACCGCTACTAATGGCGCACCTAATTTGGCCATTAATGGCGCATCACTGGTGCGCCATTACTAGCACGTCATTAGTAATTTTTACTAATGGCGCACCAGTGGTGCGCCATTAGTATCTGGTATACTAATGGCGCACCACTGGTGCGCCATTAGTATAGGCTACGGTGCGCCATTAGTATGCCTCCCAGGGGCCATGTATACCCAGGTGCTTTGGCATACTAATGGCGCACGACCACGAGATGCGCCATTAGTAACCATGGCATACTAATGGCGCACTGACCAGTGATGCGCCATTAGTATGCTTTGTCATACTAATGGCGCACTGGCATGTGATGCGCCATTAGTATGAATATTAGGTTTTTTTTATTTTTTTATTTTCTGTTTTTTGCACAGGTTACAAAATGTATAATTTGACAAAATATAGACAGCACACATCAACAACAGATTCATCGAATACAATAGAAGATTAGTCTTTGAATACAATTCATCATATTAGTCTCCGAATACAATTCATCATATTAGTCTCCGAATTGAAAAGACCGAACAAAGATAGAACATTATATTACAAGTCTCAAGACCGCGAGTAGCGAGTTTGTCTTCACATTACAAGTCGATATCGATCATCTAAACTACCATCACATAGAAGAGAGCTGCGGTCATCACGATGAGCATCATCACGATGAAACTCGTCTTCATCCGGTTCCTCCAACGCTCCCTCCCCTCTCCCGCTAGATAGCGGGCGTATCTAGATTCGGCCTCGGCCCTAGTGGTGTACCCTTTGTAACTGTTACCGCTGAATCGGTGAACCTGTCTCCGACACTCCTCCCAGTCATCGTAGACTCCGGGAACCTTACCCTTGTACACGACATACGTCGGCATCGCTATGCACTAGCCAAACGAAACGTTAGTACCAATTCACAGACAATACATAAGCAATATATAAGTATGCAACAGAACGATCGGAAGAGAAAAGCAAGACATTAATAGCATCGATTACATCTAAGTTGAACGACTCTCGAAACCAAAGAGACATACTACAAGTTCATTAAAGTTTAATTACAACATGAGCCAATTGATGTTTCAGAACTAGACACAGCATCACTTCTTTCGACTCGACTCAAGGGACCGGAGCGTGGATGAAGCCGCCGTCTATCGTGGGAGTCATGAAATAACGGTCGTTGTCAGCCTGCATTTGTAGCATTGTGTCGGTGTCACTGTTGGACGGTTGATTTCTGAGGTAGAACTGCCCCGAGGTACGAAGGACATCTTGATGGATGATTTCCGCAAACTCCGACTGGATGCAAAAGAATTCTTGTCGGAGGTCCGCGTCCTGGATTGCCGACACGCTCGCGGCCCAATCTTTGAGTTTACTCGGTAGCAGAAGTTGATGATGGTCCCGTACGATCACCCGCATGTGATGGATGGCGTAGTAGGCACCCTTCTGACCGCCAGGTGGCTGCTTGACGCAGCAGAACGTCGTATTTTGGGAGAACACGTGCTTGCCGTACTTATGAATAGGCCTGGTGAAGGTGCCTCCAGATTTGGCGTAGCCGGGGAGAACATCATCAAGAACCTTCTTGACATTTGTGTAGTCTACGTTCGACTGACGGTCCGGGTCGAAATACGTGGCCATGGAATATTTGGGGCTTAGGAGGATGAGCGTGCAACGTGTGTCACTGCAGAAAACACGGAATGTTAAAAGAAAAACGATCGAAATGTAAGAATTCATATGTTACGGGCCGGTTGAGGGGAGGACTTACTCGGGAAAGTAAGGCACGAGGAAGTTATCCTTATCTTGGTTTGCCAGAATGACGCCTTCGAGGTAAGAACTCGCGACTTGCCGGTCCCCAACGCTGCCCAAGATCTTGGCACGCATGTAGAAGGGGTCGACTATCACGATGTCTGGGGTCTTGTCGCGAATGATCCGTATCTCCATACTCAGCGAAAATAGCCGAACGAAGGTGTAGTGCAGCGGATGAAGGTTCAACATAGCGTGGATGTCATCAAAACCAAGGACGATCGTACGCCCGATGGAGTTATCCACAAAGCCCTTGCCCTCTGGCACCTTGGCCGCAAAAACTGGGTATGCCACATCCTTCTCCCTGAGACGCCGCTTCTCCAAAGAAAGAACACTGTCATGCAGACTCCGCATATCACCGGTTGCAGCATTGAGCATATTTGTCGGTAGCATCGCCCTACCCGCCACATGCACCCTCCTCGAGATATCCTGCGGTGAAGGTGGCCCGTCCTGAGCACGGATCGTACTTGGTGCCGGCTGGCTCGCACCCTTCTTAGTCTTTCTTTTGCGTGCCTTCTTCTTCTCCTGTAATGGGACCAAGTTCTGCTCACAGACCGCCTTCTTGAGTGTGTTGGGGCTGATAATATTTCACACCTCGCCTATCTGAGGCTCGGTGAAGTCGGCAGCTGGAGGCGTCTCCTGAGAGCTGAACGCCAGACGGCGCCTGTTGCAACTTGGCTTCTCCGCGGTACGAGCTAGATCGCACACGTCTTTTGTTGGGTTTGGTTCTTGAGAAGGAGGCCCCATGAAGTCGCCATCGTACCCATGATCGGCAAAGTACTGATCGACGTTGCCAAATGTATCATCGTCGTCGTCGTCGTCGTCGTTCTGATCCTGTGCCATATGCATGTTTGGATCCAGTGGCATAGGGATGTCCGGCACCGTTGCTGCGGTCTTGCCATGGGGCCGACTTGGCGCCGAAACAACTGGCGGTGTTGTCTTTGGGGTGGTGTCCCCCGCCCCCAAACGAATCTGGCTCTTCGGCCAAAGCAGGGGCCAGCTCAGGCAGGCGCTGAGGGTCATCACGTCATCATCGTCGGCCCCGACAGGTCGAATCGGAGGTAACAAGTCGTCGCAGCCTGGCAGCACCCGAACCAGTTGAACCCTAAACAAGTTGGGTGGCATCTGGGTACTGTGGAACAAGGGGTTGCCCGGTTGAACGATTTTTCCCTTAGCGACATCGACCAACTCGTTGTTCACGAAGTGGAGGAGAGTGCACGGAACGTCGGCGGCGCCCTGCGAAAACATGTAGGGCGTCAGGGATGCCCAGTCAAAGGCAAGGAGATGAAGTCCTCGGCCGAGAGAGGCTTAATTAGTTACCGTGATGATGGCGTCGAGCTCGGCTAATGTCGACGCACCGCCAACGGCGGGCGTGCAGTTGACGGAGGTGCCGCTTGCTGCAGAGGTGCCGGCCGGCGTACACCCGGGTGCATTAAGCTCCCGTGCTGGCGTCGGAGACACCAATGTCGCCTCCGCCGGAGGCACCAATGGCCCCGCCATCGCATTATACGAGTTGCTGGCCGTGAAGCTAGGAATCGGGGGCGGCCCCTGTTGGCCGCCCGCAATACACGCACTCAACCCCGAGATCAAGGTAGGCACAATGGCGGTGATCGTCGCTCCGA